TTCTCACACCGATCCGCCTTACTGCATCTGACGTGTTCCCTTCCACTGTCCCCCATCATCGTCTGTCCCCTCTGGCTGGGCGCCTGTGACCGGTGACCCCTCCACCACCCACCCCGCATCCCTCCGGCCCCCGCTCCGACACCTGGCTTGCTCCGACCCCCCCCGCCCCCCGACAGCAGCACAGCAGCCGGAGAGCCAAGAGTGTAGAGGACGACGCTGAGGGCCACCTCATCTACCACGTCGGGGACTGGCTACAAGAGCGATGTACAAGCCAAATCGTAACAATCCTATAGCCTGTAATGGTCCCATAGCCATCCTAACATCCCAAGCCAACCCAAGTCACAGCCTCTTTTGCCTTTTCTCAGTGGTGTTGTTTATCTGGGTGGTTTGAGTTGCTGTTGAGAATTGACCTCTGTTGTCCACTCCCAGCTCTCACGGCCCCTGGGTTAAAGGTGGTGGGAATCACGCAGGGGTTTTCTTCCCCTGTGATCATCTGTATCTGTTCCCCTTCCTTCATCTCCTCACCCCAGGTTGCTGTACCCCTTTTTCTTCTAACTCAGCTCATTTCCCATCTTCTCTCCCTCCCTCTCCCCGACCCTGCTCTCTTTCGTTTCAGATGAAATTGTAAGCACCTTAGGAGAGGGGACGTTCGGCCGAGTTGTACAATGTATTGACCATCGCAGGTAACTGTCAGCCCCCTCCCTCCTCCACACCTGCTAGGCATAAAGAGGTGATGAGGGTTATCTGGGGCTTTTTTGCTGACTAGCCAAAGACAGAATTTCTTAATCTGCATATAGCCCTGTTCAATTTGACATGTTCTTGAGAACCCAGCGAAAACCTCTCCTGCCAACCTAGGGGTGGGGCTCGAGTTGCCCTGAAGATCATTAAGAATGTGGAGAAGTACAAGGAAGCAGCTCGACTTGAAATCAACGTACTAGAGAAAATCAACGAGAAGGACCCTGACAACAAGAAGTAAGCAAGCAAAGGAGTATGTGGGGAGTTGGGGAGGCTCCACCCTACAGAAGAGAGACTCCCAGACCTGGGTTAGGCAGGCAGGGGAGTCCTAGACTTTCTCATCCATTCATCTTTTATTCGTCATCTTAGAGTAGTAGAACCTCAGGGTAGGAAGGAGGGCCTGTGACATTCTCTTATCCATTCCCCCTTGTTTTCAGGGCAGTTAGATTGCTCCATAGTTTGACCCTAGCCCACAGTAGCTTCTGTAGAGATATACCCTGGACATGGCCCTAGGACTGAGCATCAATATCTTCATCAAAAAAGTGAATTAAGCTTTTATACCAAGAACTGTGTTGATGAGGCATTTACATTTATATAGTAATATATGGTTAATATACATTCACAGGCTAAAAATAGAATAAGAGCATTAAGCAGAGACATAAGAGGACAATAGGTATAAACATGAGCCTAATGGTGGCTGTTGATGAGAGAATTTCAGGAGTTGGACTAGAGATGGGGTTTAGGAGTGACAGTTTGATTCAGGGTTCACACTGTTTGGAGCTTGGCACTTAATACCTCTTTAGTAAATAGTGTTTTGAGCTATTTAAAATGTTGCAGAAAGTATTAAAGCTTGGCAGGTAGTACCTCTCTTCTTGGGTCTGGCAGAAAGACCATTCCCTAGCTAAACTGAATTTTTTTGGTAATACTAGCTAGCATGTTCTTACATTCGGCCTAGGTAGTCCTCCCTTGTTGGAGGGGTGGTGGGCAGATGGGAGCTCATCAGACATCCCCCTTCCCCCCCATCTCTTTCCCCAGCCTCTGTGTCCAGATGTTTGACTGGTTTGACTACCATGGCCACATGTGTATCTCCTTTGAGCTTCTGGGCCTTAGCACCTTCGATTTCCTCAAAGACAACAACTACCTGCCCTACCCTATCCACCAAGTGCGCCACATGGCCTTCCAGCTGTGCCAGGCCGTCAAGTGTGAGTGGGGTGGGGCTGAGGCGGACTCTGGGGCAGACCCTTCCCTTGATTGGACCTCTTCTGTCTCAGTTGTGCACTAGTGAAGTCCCTAAACAGTCAACTCTCTATTAACAGTAGTTCTTTACTATCATCTTGACATCTCTTCTTACTTAACTCCCTGACTGATGTCTTCATCATCACTGATTGCTCTTACTCCACACTCAAGCTAGGAGGAGCTGGAAGAGAAAGCCTTTGGAATCAAAGCACTTAACGACTTCCTTTTTCCCTCCCTCTCCTTCCTTGGGAAAGCATCAATCAGACAGCAAACACAGATGAAAATGCATTCCTTGGGCTTGAGTTTTACATTTGTCTGAAAGGAGATGTTCTTCATTCACAGCAAAACAGATGGGAACATGGAGTAGTTCAGCTAAGGGGCCAGGCAGGAAGTCTAGACAAGTACTTAGTTCCTCTTGAGTCTTCACAGCAATAACAGTTTCACAGAATTGAGTTCAGACTGTCAGATATACACATGTCAAAACCAGTACAAAACTACAACCCAAAGCAAACTATCTCTTTATTTTTATACCAGTTGACATAATATGTGTATCTTAGATTATCAAGAGTAGGGCTTCTTAGACCAGGCATTTCATTTAGATGTAGTGCAGAAAGCAGCCCTAGTGATTGTGGACCTGCCTCCTCACCAGCTTTGCTAGGGTCAGTTGGTACCAGTTAGCTCTGGCCACCTGACCAAGCCTGACCTGGCCTTCTCCCCTGCAGTCCTCCATGATAACAAGCTGACACATACGGACCTCAAGCCTGAAAATATACTGTTTGTGAATTCAGACTATGAGCTCACCTACAACCTAGAGAAGGTAAGATGGACAGGGTCCACACTTTGGCCAGTGAGAGGCTGGCAGCTGGGCCACCTTGCCTTTTTACTCAGCCTTTTCTGTCCTTCTTTTCACTCTTTCTCCCACATTTTCTCCCTGTCTGGCTCCAACTGCATAAAACCAGACTATCAGAATAAGTTGAGAGATTTAAGAAGACTTAAATTGGAAGAGAACTTGGAAGGGACCTCTAAATAACTTTCCAATAGAGTGAAAATGCTTTTAAGTGTCTTGGTTTGAACTGCCTTCTATTTTTAGGTATATATTTCTGTGAGGTAGGAAAGCTGGGCTCCCTTGACTAACTGGCGGTAATGGCGATCTCAGAGCTAAAGAAGCTCTCCTTCCCTTGACCCCTATGTTTGCTATGTTAGGTATTTTCAGAAAAACTGTATACCCATCTCTTCAGATACTTAGAGACTTGCATGCTATTCCATGATCATTGCTTCATTCTTTTGCTCTCTTACCCCTAAAGTACTGTGCTGTATTTGAAGGAGGCTGTAAAGCAGGAAATTTCCTGGGGTTTGTGGGGGCAGGCAGGCAGGTCAGAGTTGTTTTTTCAAGGCTCAGAAGCCCTTTGGAAAATAGTGGTGGAATCTTTGTCTAGGGTGCAGAGGTTCATTCTATTCCTGTTTTGCTCCTAGAAGCGAGATGAGCGCAGTGTGAAGAGCACAGCTGTGCGGGTGGTAGACTTTGGTAGTGCCACCTTTGACCATGAGCACCATAGCACCATTGTCTCCACTCGCCATTACCGAGCACCAGAGGTCATCCTTGGTAAGGGAGGGCAAGGTTGTTGGAGTGTGTGAGGTGATGGGTTGAGGTGGGCCTCCTTAAGCCTCATAACACCTTTTCTCTCCCATTCCCACCTAGAGTTGGGCTGGTCCCAGCCTTGTGATGTGTGGAGCATAGGCTGTATCATCTTTGAGTACTATGTTGGCTTTACCCTCTTCCAGGTAAGTGGATAGGTATCTTAATTGTCCACCCAGCATTCTTTTACCTACCTGATTTCTCTGTTGTCTGCTGAGGACTTGCCTGCTCACTCTTCCAAATTGCCCATCTTCCTGGCAGCTAGTCCTCAGTATCCCCTTCTCAGTCCCATACTTATTTCTGTCTTTGTTTCCCAGACCCATGACAACAGAGAGCATCTAGCCATGATGGAAAGGATCTTGGGTCCTATCCCTTCCCGGATGATCCGAAAGACAAGGTGAACCTTGAATGGGAAGGACTTAACCCTTTTCTTTTTCTCTCCACAGAACTGGTCTGTTTCACATCATTTTCTTTTTCTTTGACACCTCCTGTCCCCCCAGTTACTCTCAGATGGGGAAATAAGGGAATTATAACAAGGAGAACCTTCTGATTCCTCAACCTCCCCTTCCCCTCTAGAAAACAGAAATATTTTTATCGGGGTCGTCTGGATTGGGATGAAAACACGTCAGCTGGGAGCTACGTTCGTGAGAACTGCAAACCACTGCGGGTGAGCCAGGCTGGGGATAAATAGTGCCCACCACCCAGAGGTCACTTCTTTCTTAGGTGGTTTGCCCTTGCAATGCTCTTCACAAACAGAGGATTAGGAAAGGAGGGGAGGAAAACTGAAAGAAGACATCTTTGGTCAATAGAGGAAAGATAAGAGGGAGTGGTCTTGTGGAGGGAAGGAGGTTAGACAACCTAACCTTGAGACAACCAGAGATCAAAGCAATGTCCTGGATTCTTTAGGTCAGACAGAAAAGAATAAACTACCTTTGAAGAGCTTACATTTTAATGAGGAGCTAAAGAAGATTCATGAAGTTGACAAGGATATACAAGTAGAAAGAACTTTCAAACAGTATGAAGGAGTAATTGTGCTAGTGGGAAGGTAGGTTGAGCTGTAATATCAGAAACATTGGTCATGGTGTGGTGGTAAGGTAGCATTCAGATTGGTTGCAAGCAGAGCCTTGGTCCACCAAGATTGAGAAGGTAGGGCCTTGAAGAAGAATGCAGGATTTGTAAGGCATCTCGCCTCACCTTTTTCCTGCCCTCCTCCACCAGCGGTATCTGACCTCAGAGGCAGAAGAACACCACCAGCTCTTCGATCTGATTGAAAGCATGCTAGAGTATGAACCTGCTAAGCGGCTGACCTTGGGTGAAGCCCTTCAGCATCCTTTCTTCGCCCGCCTTCGGGCTGAGCCACCCAACACCAAGTTGTGGGACTCCAGTCGGGATATCAGTCGGTGACGATCGGGCCCTGGGCCCCCCTGCATCTCTTATAGCAGTGGGTGTCCAGTCCAGGACACTGGTGCTTTTTTATACAAGAGAACAGAGCCGGAGCTCACTCCTTCCTCCTGGCTCTCTATATACCTGTGAATATGTGAAATAGTGTAAATATAACAGAACTTGTACCTATCACTTCAACCCCTGCCTTGTACATAATGCTATTCCATCCACTTTTTCCACCCTCACCTGCTCCCTCAGATGGAGTTGGATGGGGGCAGAATGAAGTAACCAGGTGACATTACCCCATGTTTTATAAGGAATTTTGTACAGTCTTTGTGAAATAAAATGACGTGCTTCCTCTGACCCCCATCCCTGGAGTTTAAGGTTTGGGCATGCTAGCTAAGGTGGAGGGATGAGACGATTGGCAGCCTTTCTGAGTTTGGGTCTCAAAGCATCTCTCACTCTCCAAAATTGACTAGAGTTAGGTCATCAGTTTGTTCTACTTGTCCGCATTGTCATATTGGAGGGTATTGATGGGTGGGGCAGCATTTCTCACAGGTTAGGCTGGAGCAGGGTTATTATAAAGTGGTACATCTCTGATGTGAAATGAGAGCTGGGAAAGGGGTCTGACTACTATAGCCATTAGGCTGCACCCCCGGGTAAAGCCAAAAACCCAGATAGAAAACTTGCTCAACTGGGCTCCAGGGAGGCCGCCACAACGGGTTAGAAGGTTCCCGTCGTCCACCTCGGGAGGCTGGGCAGACTGAGTTCCGGCGCGAGGCTTGCTGGGAAGTGTAGTTAGTTAGTGGGGGGAAGTCACGTGAGGAAGGGGCGGTGCTTGGCTTCAGGGACTGGGTTCGGTCTATCACGTGGGGGCTCTTCCGTCTTTGCTTTCGACCAAGGCGCAGGCGCAGCCCTCTGCTGCTACGGGGATCCTTGAGACCCTTCCGGTCGCTACGACCAATCCGTGCACAGAGAAGCGGGGCGGACCGAGAGAGCGGAGGGAGCTCTGAGAGCCACCGCCGCCGCCACTGCCGCGGCAGGGGCGTGGAGGGCAGTGGGCGGCCGAGGCCGCAGTTGCAAACATGGCTCAGAACAGAGACGGCGGGAACCCGTTCGCCGAGCCTGGCGAGCTTGACAACCCCTTTCAGGTGACTTGCGCCCGCCTCCTTAGTCAATCAGGTTGACTCTGCTCGGTTCTGTAGGGTTGGGTTAACTTGTATTCCCATTGGTGACGTTTGGTCCTGGGAAGGGGCGCCACGTGGGGGTGACAGTGACTCCAGGCCAGTAAGTACCCCAGGGGGCAATGCGAGGTGATGGATTTGAGGCAAATGTTGGGACAACAGCGTGGCCACAAAGGTGCAGTACTTGGAGCCGTGGGCAGTTTAGGAGAGTTCCCTGGGAATTCCCCCAGCAGGCACCGAGTGTCAGCTGAGCCCCAGGTCTCTGTCCTCAGGACCCAGCTGTGATCCAACACCGACCCAGCCCTCAGTATGCCACGCTCGACGTCTACAACCCTTTTGAGACCCGGGAGGTGAGTTACTGGAGAGCACAGGAAGTCAAGAAAGGAGGTTTGCCAGTGAGCCCAGTCTGTCTGGGTACAGGGGACCTTTCTGCATGCAGAGGAAGGGAGAGGCACTGTGATCTTAGGCTCCCTGAGAGAGGCCAGTCTGCCATGGGATGCCTAAATCCTTCTAGGGACAACTAGGGCCAAGATTCATCTCATTCGAGCTCTAAAAGTCAGTCCTGGGAGGACCTGGAGTCTGGCAGGGCCTGAACCAAGGCTGTGTCTGGGAACACTTCCTTGAAGAAAATAAAGGTTGGGGCAGGTTGGAGTTCATGTTGGGTGTGCAGTTTGAAGGCAGGGAGTGAGGAGGACTACATCTGTTTGTCCAACTGGAATAGAAAAGGGTGAGCTTTAGGCCGGGCGCTGTGGCTCACGCCTGTAATCTTAGCACTCTGGGAGCCTGAGGCGGGCGGATTGCTCTAGGTCAGGAGTTCGAAACCAGTCTGAACAAGAGCGATGCCCTATCTCTAATATAAATAGAAATTAATTGGCCAACTAATATATATAGAAAAAATTAGCCGGGCATGGTGGTACATGCCTGTAGTCCCAGCTACTTGGGAGGCTGAGGCAGCAGGATTGCCTGAGCCCAGGAGTTTGAGGTTGCTGTGAGCTAGGCTGACGCCACGGGACTCAGTCTAACCTGGGCAACAAAGTGAGACTCTGTCTCAAAAAAAAAAGAAGAAGAAGAAGAAGTTAAGGGAGTAGAGATGGTGGATGAGTGCTTTGAATTCTTGCTAAGGAATTGGATGTGAGGGGTGATGAGGGCTGTTGCAAGTCATCAAAAGTTCTCTGACTGATCCTTTTGTAGTTCATAAGCGTGATGATTGGGTTTTCACGCGCATGCGTGAGATGTGCCTCCCTCAAACCTTGTTACGACATCGGCACATTACCCATCTGACGTGAAAAAAAAAAAAAAAAAGTTCTCTGACATAAATTTGACACAAGAACTAGTTTCCTAACAATTGGAGGAAAGACTGCTGCCTTAAGGGAATGAATTCTGGGTCTAAAAGCATTCAAACAGACTCTAGTCCTGTGTTATGAGGGACTAGATGCTCCCTAAGGTCTTTTCCCCAACAGCCGTCACCCGCCTATGAGCCTGCTGCCCCTGCCCCACTGCCTGCACCTTCAGCTCCCTCCTTGCAGCCCTCAAGAAAGCTCAGTCCCACAGAACCCAAGAACTATGGCTCCTACAGCACTCAGGTAAAACAGCTGTGCAGGTGAGGACTGGGAAGAGGGGCCAGGGTTGGGGCCCAGGGCTCACATTCCCTCTGTTCATACTGAGCAGGCCTCAGCTGCAGCAGCCACAGCTGAGCTGCTAAAGAAACAGGAGGAGCTCAATCGGAAGGCAGAGGAGTTGGACCGCAGAGAACGAGAGCTGCAGCATGCTGCCCTGGGGGGCACTGCCAGTAAGTGGGTCTTTGGTAGGGTGGGAGAGAGCATCTGATGGTTTGAAAGGAGAAAAAAAAGGGTCTTAAGAGCGTCGGGGCCGGGCACAGTGGCTCATGCCTGTAATCCTAGCACTCTGAGAGGCCGAGGCAGGCCGATTGCTCAAGGTCAGGAGTTCAAAACCAGCCTGAGCAAGAGTGAGACCCTGTCTCTACTATAAATAGAAAAGAAGAAATTAATTGGCCAACTAATACATATAGAAAAAAAAATTAGCCGGGCATGGTGGCGCATGCCTGTAGTCCCAGTTACTCGGGAGGCTGAGGCAGTAGGATCGCTTGAGCCCAGGAGTTTGAGGTTGCTGTGAGCTAGGCTGACGCCATGGCACTCACTCTAGCCTGGGCAACAAAGTGAGACTCTGTCTCAAAAAAAAAAAAAAAAAAAGAGCATTGGCTTTGAATTTTGGAGATATTGCTTACTAACCATGAGCTCTTAGGCAAGTTATTTAATCCTGAGTGCCTCATTTTCCTTATTTGTAAAGTGAAAATAATGTTTGAATCTGTTTGACAGGATTGTTGTGAGGGTTAAACAAGGTCATACATGTAAAGTGCTTGGTGTAGGGCTTAGCTATCATAAATAATAGCAAACACTTGTTGTTACTTTTACTTTTTCCACTTTCTCTTCTCTCTTTGGACCCCAAATTGGAGGTAAAGAGAGGACCCAGGGATGAAGGGAGTGGAGAGTGATTCCTTTGTTGGTCTCTGCCTCACTTCTGGGGTCCTCCTACTCTCTTTGTGCCTTACAGCTCGACAGAACAATTGGCCCCCTCTACCTTCTTTTTGCCCAGTTCAGCCCTGCTTTTTCCAGGACATCTCCATGGAGATCCCCCAAGAATTTCAGAAGACTGTATCCACCATGTACTACCTCTGGATGTGTGAGTAGTGAGAAGCCTTTTGGAGGAAGTTACTGGTAGCTCTCTTAACTGCCCTGGGGGGGCCATTCATCTAGAACCAGACACTTCACCTCCCCTCAACATTTTAATTTTAAGCCAGTTTCTCCAGGAATCTTCCTGGGTTGCTGTTTTTGGGCTATTTAGAACTTGTTCACCAGCCTGCTAGCAAATGTATGTGCTTGCCCCCTCCTCACTTTCCTTCATTCCCATACAGAAATGTATTCTGAATGATTTAAATGTCTTTGCAAGGTGATCACACATGATTGAGACTGGCTTGCTCTGTCTCTCCTGTTGAGTTGAGGATTCCATGAAGGCAGGAGCTACCTTCCTTTACTTACTCTGCCACATTTGGTGAGGGTTGTGCGGTGAGCATAGATGGAAAGGATTCTTCATTGAAGTCCAGAAGGACCTGTCATCCTGTCCCTCTGCCCCTTAGGCAGCACTCTGGCTCTTCTCCTGAACTTCCTCGCCTGCCTGGCCAGCTTCTGTGTGGAGACCAGCAACGGCTCAGGCTTTGGGCTTTCTCTCCTCTGGGTCCTCCTTTTCACTCCCTGCTCCTTTGTCTGCTGGTACCGCCCCATGTATAAGGCTTTCCGGTAAGTGTGCGTGGGGTGGTGGTGATGGGGACCTGGGATGGGCCCCACATCTGCTCCTTCAGCTCTGATTTTTCTCCCACTCTCCCCATTTCTTTCTTTTTGCAGGAGTGACAGTTCATTCAATTTCTTCGTTTTCTTCTTCATTTTCTTCGTCCAGGATGTGCTCTATGTTCTCCAGGCCATTGGTATCCCAGGTTGGGGGTTCAGGTCTGTGAGGCTGCCATCTACCCTCGCCCTTTCCTTTCACTCCTCTAGACCAAGCCAGCGCTCAGTACTGGGGTAGGAGTAGTTCAGAAAAAGGAAATACGGTTTTAATCCTTGAGAAGTGGTAGTTTAGTGAGATACAGGACATACTTTCAAGATAGAAAGAGCCCAGACAGAACTCTCAGCAGGCATAGATTGAGAGGAACACAGTTACGTGTGGTCGATCTGAGAGGCTGCCTGGAGAAGGCATATAAACTGTAGTTGAAGAGAGAAGGAAGAATCCTGAGAGGACTGCCTGGAATTGCTTAGAGAGCTAGGAGCTAATGGTTCAGAAACTGAAATTAAGCTGTGAAGAGAGTAGCTGTAGTTGGGATTGTGGTGTGTGGAACGCTGCCAGGCTGACAGAGGAGTGACCGCTGATAGGCAGGGTGGGAAAAGGGCCCGTTGGCAACGTAACCATTGGAGAAGCTGGGAGGGCAGAGACCCAGCTGTGCAGCCCCTCTTCACTAGTATGTTCCCCCCCCCCCCCCTTATAGTGGCTGGATCTCTGCTCTGGTGGTGCTGAAGGCCAACACAGCTGTAGCTGTGCTCATGCTGCTGGTCGCCCTCTTCTTCACTGGCATCGCTGTACTGGGAATTGTGATGCTAAAGCGGGTGAGGGGCTGTGTTAAAGATGGGGCCAAGAGGGTGAGATCACGGGTCCCTAGGGGCCTGGGTGGAACATTCAGGAGGAATCGAGGCGGGCCAGGCTGATGGGCGAGTTCTCAGCTAATGGACCTCTGGGGTGTATGTTTCTGTGTGTGTGAGTATGTGTACTGGGAGGGAGGATCAGAGCCAAGAAGGAAAAGCTAGAGCAGCAGGCTGGTGAGTGGGGATGATGGTGTTTGGTTGGGGCGAAGCAACAGCGGCTGGAACGTGCCATAATGTCTTTGTCCTCTACACGCAGATCCACTCCTTGTACCGCCGCACAGGTGCCAGCTTTCAGAAGGCCCAGCAAGAATTTGCTGCTGGTGTCTTCTCCAACCCTGCAGTGCGAACCGCAGCTGCCAATGCAGCCGCTGGGGCTGCTGAAAATGCCTTCCGGGGCCCGTGAC